CCCAGTGATTCCACTGCCCCCCACGATCCCAGTTTCCCCATTGCATCCCCCAGTTCAGCCCGGTTACCCCATTCCACCCCAGTACCTCCCACCGTGCCCCCAATGTCCCCTCACTGCACCCCCATCGCCCCCCAGTGCTTTCCCCATTAACGCCCCCGTTCCCCCCACCCCCTCCGTGGGGCTGAGTCCTTGCCGTGGCGTCTGGGCGCAGTTTTGGGGTCCCCCCAGCCCGGGGGGGCCGTACCTGAGCGTCCCCGCTCCCCGCGGCTCCGCGGGGCTCCTGGAGGGGCTGCCGGAGCAGGGGGCGGCCCCCCCGCGGGGGGGCAAACCCTCCTGCTTGGGGGGCTTCGGGGGGTCCCCCCGGGGCTGGGCACGCTCTGCCCCGGCCGGGGGGGGCCCGGCGGGCCGGGGGCGCCGGGGGACGCTGGGGCTGGAGGCGCGGGACGAGGAGGTGCCGGGAGCTGCTTTTTGGGGGGACATGCCCGGGGTGCGGGGCTGGGGCAGGCGGTGAGCTGGAAGGGACAGGGGGAGGTCAGCGGGGACAGCGCTCAGCATCCCCTCCCCTCCCCGCATCCCGATTTTCCAGCCAGGCTATTCCCGGAGGTGGTGACAGCTCGGGAATTTGGGAAAAACCCCACTTTTCACTCCCTTTTTCACCTTCCAGCAGGATCAGTGCCCTGAGGAGCCCAGCCCCAGGGAAGGGAACCCCAGAGAAAATCAGGGAGAACCACGGGGAACCAAGGAAGGGAACCCATGGGGAAACAGGGAACAGAACCCCACAGAAAATCAGGGAATGGAACCCATGGAGAACCAAGGAAGGGAACCCATGGGGAAACAGGGAACAGAACCCCACAGAAAATCAGGGAATGGAACCCATGGAGAACCAAGGAAGGGAACCCATGGAAAATCGGGGACTGGAGCCCTACAGAGAGGCAGGGGATGGAGCCCCATGGGGAACCAGGGAATGGAACCCATGGGGAACCAGGGAACAGAACCCCACAGAGAACGGAGCCCCAGGGAGAACCAGGGGATAGAACCTCACAGAAAATCAGGGAACAAAACCCCACAGAGAACCAGAGACAGAGCCCAGGGAGAATCTGGGAACAGAGCCCATGGAGAGCCAGAGAATGGAACCCCATGGAAAATCAGGGAACAAAACCCCATAAAGAACCAGGGAAAGGGGCCCCATAGAGAACCAGAGAATGGAGCCCCAGGAGGATCCAGGAATGGATCCCATGGAGAGCCAGGGAACGGAAGCCCACAGCAAGCCAGGCACCAGGAGCGTGCCGGGGGGGCACAGGCTGTGGGGTGACACTCACAGAGGGCAGCGCAGCGACACGGGTCGTGCTTGTCCAGGTAATGTTCCAGTGTGTCCCAGCCGCCGCCCACGCGCACCATGACGTGGCTCCGCAGCACCTGCGGGCAGCGCTGTCACCCTGCCGGGTCCCAAAAAGCCACCAAAGCCACCCCAGGACCCCGGCGTGGGCAGGAAATCCAGCGCTGGACCCCACCCACCTTGTCTGGGAGCGGGGGAAGGAGAGGGTGGAGGGGCCCGGTGTAATGGGGGGACAATGGGGCGAGGGGGGACAATGGGGGCGAGGGGGGACAATGGGGCGAGGGGGTGGCTCTTACTCGGACGAAGATGAGCGTGTTGGAGTCGCCCACTTTGTACTTCCCCTCCGAGACCTTGACCATGGGGAATTGCGAGGGGCAGGAGCAGCAGCCCAGGATCTCCCGCACCTGCCGGCACACAGGGGAGCGGTCAGGGGGGCGTGGACGCCCTGCTGTAGGGTCGGCGGGGTCCAGAACCCCCCTATAGGGCCGGTGGGGCACAGAACCCCGTTACAGAGCTGCTGAGGCACACACCCCCATTATGGGGCAAGCAGGGCATAGAACCCCCACTATAGGGCCGGTGGGCATAGAAACCCCCCTGAAGGGTCGATGGGGCACAGACCCCCCGTTACAAGATCAGTAGGTACAGACCCCCCCCATAGGGCCGGTGGGGCACAGACCTCCCAGTTATAGGGCTGGTGAGGCAGGGACCCTCCGTTATAGGACCGGTGGGGTACAAACCCCCCTGCAGGGTCAGTGTGGATCCCCATTATAGGGGCAGCCCCTCAGACGGGCACACATGGAGGGGCTCTGTGTGCCCCCCATGCTGGCAGCTCCCCCCCTCCGTGGGGAGCAGCTGGGGGGGCCGGGGTCAGCTCCCATGGCCGGGCACCCCCGGCAGGCTGAGAACGGCCACAGCTCTCTTCATTTGGGGTCCACCCGCTCCGGGACCCCCGGGTGTGGGCACAAACCATCCCCCCACCCCACTAATGCGGGGCACGGCGGATTCGCCCCCAAATGCCCACCATGGGGCAGGACCTACATCCACCCCAAAAATGGAGTAAATCCCGGGGGGTTTTGCCTCCCTCTAAACTTGAAGGTCTGGCACAGGGAACAGCGGAGCGGGAGGATTTGGGGGGCCGGGCAGGGCACCCCCAGGGCTGTGGGGTGGCCGGGCAGTGCCGTGGTCCCGCTGGCTGCCAGCTGCCGGCTCCATCTCCCGGGCTGACGTCAGGGATTAAACCGGGAGCCACGGGGGGACGCGGGGACGCGGCCGCATCCTGCCCCGGCCCGGGGCTCCGGGGGGAGCACGGCACCGCCTCGCCCCGAAATTTGGGGTTTCTTTAACAATTCCGTGATTTTGGGGGATCTTCCTGCAGCTGTGCCCATCACAGCGCTGAGAGGAAGGAAGGATGTGGCCGCTCCGGTTCCCATCCGGGTGACACGGAGAGCCCC